CTTTACAATAGGATGCTGGACATTGTTCATGCCTGCAATGATGGACTTATGACTGTTTGTGAAGAAGTATACTATTGTGATAATATGGGAGAAATCAGTATGGGGAGGAGAGTACTTGGAGAGGCGGTAAAGAAAATCCCAGAGCTTATGGAACTGTATCATAAAATAATAATAATAATAAAATACAAAAAAGAAACATTTAAGAAAAACTAAAAAGGGCAATTTCCACAACAAATAAATTGAAAAAGAAAGAAACTAGAGACTACTTGTCAGTTCAACCAATTTCAGTGTGTTTTTCATCCTTATTCAAATACAACAATTACTTATATATAACAGTTTTAAATGAAACAGCTCAATGGCCCAACTGGCTAATCCTCCATCTGTGGGTGATCATATCCCATATGGGCACCAGTTCATGCCCCAGTGATTCCACTTTCCATCCAGCTCTCTGCTTATGACCTTGGAAAGCAGTAGAAGATAGCCCAAAACCTTGGAACCCTGTGCCAACGTGAGGCCCTGGAAGAGGCTCCTGGCTTCAGATTGGCCCAGCTCCTACTCTAACGGTCATTTGGTGAGTGACCCAGTGAGTGGAAGATCTTTCTCTCTCTGCTAATCTGCCTTTCAAATAAAAATAAACAAAATTTTAAAGGAAATAAAACCAATAAGCATAAAAATAGGCTGGTTCATGGACTAAATTGCTGCTCTTCAAAATTTGTGTTAACATCCTAACCTTAAATGTGACCATTTTTTGGATATGAGGGTTTTGGATATGAGGGTTTCATTTAAAGAGATGACTAAGTTAAGACTAAGCCTGGCCACTGTCCTTAAAAGAGGAAGTTTGGACTCACAGAAGGGACTCCAGGGATATGGGTACAGACAAATAGCCTGAAGAAGCAGCAGGAGGAAGGCCATATGCAAGCAAAGAAAAAAGTTAATTCCTGCTGTTTAAGTTCTAAAAAACGAATACAGATACTAAAATGGCACATAAGCCCACTGTCCAATTAAACTGAAAAAAATACATATAGTAACATAGAGGGAAAAGTCCTGGGAAGTGATTCTCATCTGGTGGAATGGAGATCATACCTGCTGGTGGAAGTGAGCCAAGGATGACTAGAAAAAGCCCTGCAATGCAATTGCAAATGGTCCTCTCTCCTCCTCTTAGGAACATTTTCTTAGATCCATCTATGTGTAGAATACATAAATAATGACATGATTATAAACCTACTCTTAGACACTTAGTTCAATTAGCACTTTTATAATGAGACCATACATAATTTCATCAACTACAATGTAAACATTATCATTGGAGATCTGCTTTAGGTACAACACTGGGACAGCTTCTACTCAGTTCCATAAGTCTTTGCCAAATTCTCACTTTTGCACTCTCTACACTATTAAAAGATATGGCTGTGACAATTCCAAATGCCTGTTATCCTCCCGTCCACTTTATCCCTTATATGTGTGTTAAAAGCATTCAAAACAGGTTGTGCTTCATCCTAGAAACAGATGGATTTCAGAGACAGATTAAAATGTTTCATTACCTCATCATATTGTCTAAGACAAATGTGCTATTGTATTATGAGTGAAATTACATCTTTGAAGCCTGTTAGGAGTGTGTTGTGAGGTGAGCCATCTGGAAAATAGTGCACACTGGAAAATAGTTATAAGCCATTTTATTGGGGTTTTTTCCCAGTTAAGCCTGCCATTATTGCTGCTAATTACACTACTCAGTGTAAGGGCCAGACAGGCTCTGAAGTCACACATGTTGGATACAACCCCTGACAAAGGTGAGCTAATATACAACTTACCTCTCTGATCTTTTTTGTCTCATCTTTAAAACTGAAGCAATGCATGGTCATGAGATTTCAATTAAGTAACATTTATAAAACACTTGGAACAAAGTAAGCAATAAGTATGATCTCTGCTCTCTAAAATAATATAGAATACTTTATATCCCTTATGGAGAGAAATTGCATAATCCAATACTATTTAGAGGCCAAGTGAAACTTTTTTTTAATCCCATTGAGTTTCCATGTAATTTCCTTTCTGATTCAGGGAAGAAAGGGGCTGTGAAAAAAAAACAATTGGGAAACTTCTGAAATTCAGTGTGGCGCAGGTTAGGACCACCCAGCAACACAGAAAAAAGGAACGCTGTCCATGGTGCTAGGGTTGTTGAACACCCCAGCAATATTTCCACTGCCCAAAGTATTTTTCCAGTCAACATACTTAGGGCTGATCACATATCTCTCTGTCTGGATGACTCTCGCTTATTTGCTCACTGGCTGTTTTCTCTATATTACCACTTCTTATCCATGTCCTTCCAAAAAATGTTTTTTCTTTGAATCAACTCCAAGTAGTTTGATTTTTTTTTTCAAATATTTTGCCCATGCCTGTGAAAGTCTGATTCAGAAACTGGCTCAGAGTATGTATTCCCAATCAGCTTCAGAGAAACACAAGATTCAAAGCAATAATGCAGGATGCAAAGCAAAAACTAGCTGTGGCTGGTTTTGTGACATTGTGGGCTAGGATCCTGCCTGGAATGCTGGAATCCGATATCAAAGTGCCGGTTCAAGATCTAGTTGTTCTGCTTCCAGTCCAGGTCCCTGTTAATGCACTTGGGAAAGCAGTAAAGAATGGTTAAGTGCTTGGTTCCACAACACCCACATGGGAGATGAAGAGCAGGTTTCTAGTTCCTGGCTCTATTATAGTCATTTGGGAGAACAAACCGGTTGGTGGAAGATGGTTCTCTCTCATGCTCAGTCTCCCTTTGCTCTGTCATTCTGCCTTTCAAATAAATAAATAGACCTCTTAAAAAAAGATTTATTGGTCCTTCCTCTTGGAAACTTCCCATGTACCTTAACTAAGAGCTAAACTCCTCTCATCTTTACTCCCAAGGTGTTCTGTAGCTGTATCCCTCAGTAAAGTTGCCACATTAAATTGCAAAACAAACAGTGTTTGTTGAAAGTTAAGATCCATACCTAATGTAACGGTGAATTGCTTGAAATATAAGATAGTTCAAGCCTTGTTGAACTAGATTCAGTTGCTAGAATCATTACAAATAGTAACTCCACAGCATTCCTTAAATGGCAACTTCCTTGTTTCATTAAAGTATGCACCTAATTTTGGAGTAGCCAAGCTTTTGTGATGAAGATATTATGAGGTGAGTTCATTTGCCACAGCATCTGCCAATATCAGCCTATGACTCAGCTACTCAAGTGACTGACACAGAACCAGTGCCACACATGTCAAGGGCCCTGGCTTTCTATTGTCTTCTTTCTTCCTCCTCGTCCTCCTCCTCCCTTTCTATCTATGTAACTGTAATCCCCCAACAAACAGTGTAAGAAGGGGAGTGGTTCTCATGGAGAAAACCATCTTGTTCACCCAGAAACAGACTCCTATTCCACTGGCCCAACTAAGAAAGGAGTAGCCATCAACAAAGGAAATGGCATGTTGCCAGATAAATGTGGATGGCCAACAATGTTAAGCCTACATTGTGTCCATCACATCCAAGGGAAATCACAAGAAATCAGTTGTGAAGTCTCTTCATCTTGAGTAAGTGAGCAAATGGCTTTTTCTTTTTTAAACAGCAAGTGGCTTTTAACACCCTGAAACAAGTTTTTGAGGCCACAGATATATAATGTTTTATTTCTCCCCCATTTCAAGACAGTATCAGCTGCAACTTTTGTAATCTTTAAATTAATAAATATGTTGCCTCAAACAAACACTGCCAGGAAGATTTTAAAAGGGGGAAGAAAAGGACTTGGTTTTTAAATCTTCTGAGGCTGGTTGAATGACAGGTTGGACCAGTTTAATGAGCAGCCCAGCACCACACCCTTGTTTATTATGTTTCATTATTACTGCATAAATATCCTTTATTACCCATCAGAAATAAAAATCAAATGCTTGCTGAGGTGGTTTTAAATGGGTAAGAGTGCAAACAAAGATAAACTATACAAATATCATCAAACTGGGATCTCAGGTTCTTGATACACACGTGTGCCAGGCTGCCAGTCTCAATTATGAGCTACATTTTGGAGAAGCATTTTCATAGCTTACTTTTTAGGATTCTGTCCATAAATCAAGCAGAAAAGAATTTGAGAAGTAGGCTTCTTGGGACTTTTGGCTATCTTCCTGGTGGACTAATTCAAACGGGAAAACATACCAAAAGCAATTTGGTAGAGTCCAAGCAAGACGAAGATTTTGATCTGCAAGTAGGTGCAGAGCTGTTGCTTTCAAGTATTTTAAGAGCTGGAAGTGCTTTCTTTCAAACCGGCTGTCTCAGGGCTAAAGGAACAGAAGTCCTCTGCTCCACCTGCTGGGGATTAGGAGCAGAGGGCAGTGGGTCAACTGGCCACTGTGGGTCAACTAGCCTTGGTATTGCTGGACACAGGCTGCAGTAGCCCGCCTCCTTCTCGCCCCGCAGCGGCTGCTCCAGGGGACTCCCTGGCTTGCAGTCCGGCTCAGTCACAGAGCCTTGCAGGAGCGCGCCCTCAGCACCCCGTCAGCAGGGGACGGCAGGGCCTGCCAGGGAGCCAAAGGAACAACCCAGTGGGAGCCTGGGCGAGACTGTGGGCGGAGCCCGAGGGGTGGGCCGAGCCCAGGCTCGCTTCTCTGCTGGAAAGGGAATTCATTCCCGGCTGGCTCCCAGCTCTGCCAGAGCCGGGTAGCCAGTGGGGACGCTGGGAAACGTCCGCTCTCTACAGCCGAATTGCTTGGCGCTCCACCGCGAGCAGTTTTTTTTTTTTTTTTTTAAACCAAGAGTTAGCGGAGCGTGTGTAGCTGGGCACCAGAAAGAACCTGGAGCTGACCCCAGGCCACTCGACCATTGCTTTGACTCCCAAGCCGCAAAGGCACGGGAAGAGGGGACCGAATCCGAGTTGAGCTATCCCGGGGAAGGAAGAGTTAAGTCGAGTGGCCCAGGAGAGAAAGTGGTCCAGGACGGAAGAGTGTCCCTAAAAACTCTGGGCCAGCACAAGGTTCTCCGGGCCACCCTGTGGGGACTGTGGAATGCGACCAGAGGACAAGGGCATGCTCGGTGGTGGAGGCAACGATGGGGGTCTGGCCAGCGCCGCGGCGCGGGGACAAGTGGAGACAGTGCGGCAGCTCCTGGAAGCCGGCGTGGATCCCAACGGAGTCAACCGCTTCGGGAGGCGACCAATTCAGGTAGCCAGGGGCCGGGGCCTTGCCGGCAGGCGGCGCACAAACATGGGCACAACTGCCGCGGTCCGGACTGGGACCAGGGCTGCGGGGCCGCTGACCGGACTGGCAGCCTCCCTGGGGGAGGGAGGCCGGGCGTAAGGCTAGCTTTTCCACAGCAAAAATCCTCCAGAAAAGAACCGAATAGCCCACTACGTCAGTTTGATTTTTTTCTTAGTAGCGGAAAAATATCAATATAAGAGTACTTTGGAAACTTCCTGAAATAGAATTAAAACATGCTTATTTTGATGCACGGAAATCTGAAATCTATGCAGGCATGGGATCTTCGCAAAGTTCATAGAAAACGCATCTCGTGCAAAAACTATGACTTTTTTTCACCAAAATAAGCTTATTTTTGAATTATGTTTCAGGAACTTTTCAAATTACCGCCATATTTGTTCTGCCATCTCATGATTAAAAATGCACAGGAGAGATTCTGTCGGAAAGAAAATGGGGCAGAGGAAAGTTATTTGGGGACGACTGAACTTTATGTCTATTTTCAGTGACAAAGATAAATTACAAATTGTGCAATCTAGATTGGATTTTGATTGGTAAACTCACAATGCTTGAGAAAAAAAATAGTGAGCTTTTAAACCTCTACATTGAATGTTTCTCTGATAGGAGTGAACTGAATTCAAAGAAATGAGATAAGATTTCTCAACGACAATACTAATTCCTGTTATGCTAACATTTTTTGAATGATACATAAGGAATAAAAGGCTGCTATAGATGCTATGATACTAGATTATGTGATATTAATTTATATTAGGCTTCATTACAAAACTACTCAGCAGCAACTATTAGATTCCTTCTTGAATTGTCAAGGGCATTCACAAGATGTCTTCAATGCTTAAACAAAATACATACTCATTCTTTTTGGGTTCTTAGAAAAGTTCTTATTTGTATTTTTAATTCATCATTTACGGAGACACTAAGAACCACTCACTATAGGTTAAAGATTTTGTACATGATTTATAGGACCAATTTATGATTATCATGGTTTTTAAGGGGGAAAATACAAGTTGTTACATTCATTCAGCAAAACTGATATATCATCTCTCAATTACATGAGCATTTTAAAGCACTTCAATTCACAAAAACAAGTCTTTTATACATTTAGTTAACAAAAAATATTTAATAGAATATGAAAAATGCTTGTGTAATGCACACATATACAAAGGGAATGTTATAGGCTTATTCCCCTGGAAAATCATTTAAGTTACACATCATTCTGATTTCACTGATAACACCCAAATTATATAGCAGAATATTTACTATGTAAAAGGAGAAAGATTTATACGATCTGAAGAGAAACCAGAGTATAAATATTCACTATGTATTATTATAAAATCATGTAGGAAGTAAATATAATTTCACATTATGTCAATCATTTTAGTTCATCTCTCTACAATGTGATCTTAAAATAGTAAAAGCTGTAAGCCATTAATTAAAGGCAAATCATGTTTCCGTAAGAATATGCCTCACTTGTTTTACTTTTTCCTCTCTAATCTCCAAATTTGTCTGTCAGGCTGTAGTTGGTATATAAACAGACATGAAAATAAATCAATAAATAAACACAGGTATGCATGACTGAAAAAGCAGAAGACACACTGCAAGGCATTTGCTATGACAATTAAATCGTAAACTTTTCCAAAAAATATAACTTATGTTGCTTATTTTCTCCACAGAAGCATTTCTCCAGCTTCAAACCAAAATAAATAAATAAATAAATAAATAAATAAATAAATAAATAAAAGTTGATTACCTATCAAGTGATTTAAATCTGGATTGTGGCGTGGGAGCAACAAGGGCAACAAAACGTTAAAAGACATTTCAGTCTTCCCATAAATTATTTAACCAAACAGATTCTCATATTTCACTGGAAAACCATCCTTCATTCTCCCTGCAATTACTATCAACTCTCCCGTTTGGAGTGTAAGACGGAATTTAATTTGAACTCAGTTAAGACTGGTGAGGAAAGTGAGAAAAAGTGAACACCTGAGGCTGGTTCACATCCCTACTCTGAGCGTAGGAGTTGGTCCCTATTTCCTTGAGGTGGTCTACCTGCCCCCCTGCCGACCGCTCGCTGCCCTCACCCTGTCCTTGACCGCTCTTCCCTCTCGCGCAGGTCATGATGATGGGCAACACCCGCGTGGCCGAGCTCCTGCTGCTCCACGGCGCCGAGCCCAACTACGCCGACCCGGTCACCCTCACCCGACCGGTGCACGACGCCGCCCGGGAGGGCTTCTTGGACACGCTGGTGGCGCTGCACCGGGCCGGGGCGCGGCTGGACGTGCGCGACGCGTGGGGCCGCCTGCCCGTGGACCTGGCTGAAGAGAAGGGCCACCTCGACGTTGCACGGTACCTGCGCGCTGCCGCGGGGGACTGAGGGCGGTGCAGTGCGGCCGCCCACAACCAAGTTTTCCCTCGCCGATACCCTACCCTTACTTACCCAGTTCCAAGAGTGCCCTGAAAGTGGAGCGTCGAGCTTTCTTAGGCTGCTAGAGTCCCAGAGGAAGGAGGGGCCTCCCGGGGATAAGATCAAACTCGTTTTCAAACTCAAGAGCCAACCTTTGGCACTTACCTTGAAGCCAAACGAGGAGACTTAGCCCTGTGTACTTTCCGCGAGATTGAGGAGGCAGTGTAGCTGCAGTTTCTCTGGCGGAAAGTGCACGGGAGGTCTTGGAGCTACCCCGTGCCCGCCAGTCTTAACGTGGATGATAAGGGTCCTGGAATGGGAGGTGGGGCATTTGGCGTTTGGGAGAAGCGCAGCCGGTTAGCCCCCTGATTCGCATTCTGGGTCCAGCTCCCAGCCCCTGATTCTCAGTGGAGCTCTCTGCGTATGAACTCCAGGTGCGAGCGTCAGGCCAATTCTGAAAACGTACTGGCCAGAGTACCAAAGTTGAGGTGGACTTCAGGAAAGCGCCCAGCCTATCGGGCTGGGGGGGGGGGGGAGGGAGCAAGGCAATCATGACCAGAACAAAATTCTCCCCAAGTCCTGCGCACCCTCAGCCCCTCAACACCACCACCAGTGGATACAGTATGGAAACGTTGGCTCCAAATCCTAAAATTCCCATTTCTCCCCGTTTAAGGCAAGATTACCGCAGTGTTCCGGTGTTCGGAGGAATGAAATGGTGGGGAATGAAAGTAACTGTAGCACGTGCTGTAATGACTTGCTTCCTCCGTGTTTTACAGCAGGTGGAAACCCCATCCTCCCCTGGGAATTGCCACTTGGAAAGATTTCATGATATTTTCTTCCTTTGCATTGCCCTGTAACTTTCTTGTTTAATGGGGCTGCTTTAACAGAATATCTATTAGCTCTGGGCAGAGAGAACCACGCGTGCGAAGTGAAGCTGTGCCAGCATGTCAGTCAGGGCCGCTGCCTAGATTACTTTCATCCTTAATCTGTTTATTTCCTTGTGAAAATGTTGACTTTTCTTTATTAAGAGTGTCTCAGGGGATCAAACCATGAACTGTTGCAAAGATCCTTGAGAAATAGATCTCCTTGTCTATGAAATTAGCTTAGAATAATTACCCCCCCCCAAATTGCTGAAAATAAAAAGTAAAATTGAATACAAAACTGCTGAAATTTTCTGTGGATGGTATCCAGGATTTCCTACACCTGCTGAACAAACTAATGCACTTGTTTGGGATTTAGTTTTTAGGGTTGCTATTCTGCCATTTTAATAAAGAATTAAACAACTGAAAGCAAACTCCAAAATGTGGCTAATTTTACTTTAAAATATGTTTTATGGTTTACTATTAACACCTGAGAATATTAAAGGTTCAGAGAGGTTCAGTTCCCTCACCATCTGCAGTAGCAGTTGATGAGTGCACTAGTGAGATAGAGAGATAGAGAGATAGAGAGAGAGAGAGAGAGATAGATAGATAGATAGATAGATAGATAGATAGATAGATAGATAAATTTTTTTTAAAAAGCTGTCTATTCATGCCATGGAAAGTTAGAGGATTTGCACATGTTTTGTCCTTCTAAGTGTCCAGAATCCTATGTATACGTATAAAGAAAGAAGAGAACAACCACAGCAAACAATGAGTAGATCTCTTAGAAGGGTTATCTTTGCGCTAAATACAAAAACCTTTACCTCTCCATCAATTCCTCAGAGTCCAAATTAGTCTATTATTGGGAAAGTTTAGTTGAGAATTAGACTGTCATATTGGGGAAAGGATATGTGTTTGGTTAACATACAATTTAACCTAAGCATGCTTAAAAATCCATTTAACAAATTTTTAAGACAGAGATTGCTTACATGATGCAGACAAAAAGGCAAAGAGACACCCAACAACTTGCCAGAGATCACAAGATACTCATTTCTGGATTTGCAAGAGCATCTAGTTTCAGCGTTTTTGCAATTGTTTAATGAAAAATAAAATATGTCTGTGAGTTTTTATTTGCTTTGGGAGAGGAAATCATTTTTCTGGAGTCTGGCAAGTCTAGAAGCTGCAGCTCCTGGGAAGCTTCTTCCAGGATCATAACATGGGGGGAAACATCACCTGGCAAGTACACACAGACTAAACTGCAAGCCTCAAGCCTTTTCTCCAAGGGCGCTGGATTCCTGAGGGTGGAGCCTTCCAACTTAAACTTGTCCCACTAGGGCATGCTTCACAGCCCTGTTGCAATGGTGACCAAGTTTCCAACAAATGCTTTTTAGGCAACACATTTAAAACACAGCAATGACCCTTGTATTTATCATCTAGCCATGCTAACGTTCTTGGCGCCTCATAAGCATGATACAGTTTTGCACCATGCTTTTGCTTCAAGTTTTCTCTCCATCTCTGTATACTGACATAGTCAATCTGGGCATCTTTTATATATCCCGTAGGCTTTACTCAAGGAATATATTTTCAGTGAAACCTTTCCAAAAGGTTGAGTGGTTGTTGACTGAATAAATAACCTAAATTACCCTCTACCCAACACTGACACTAATCTAAGTACCCATCCTCTGTGATGCCTAACATGTTTTTCTGGCACAGAATTAAAAGATATGATGGCTGGTTTTCTTTTCTATGATACTGTAAACTCAAAAATGGCTAGAACCTAGGCTTTGCTGGGTTTTGTAGTCACTGTGCCTAACTATGTCAGAACACAAGAGACTCAATAGAAATATATATATACACACACACACACATATGTACATGTATATATGTATATATATACATATATATATAGAAGCATTTCACATTATTATTTTGTTTCAAAGGAGAAAATATACACAAGTATCCATGCCTAATTGTAAAAGATCAAATCTAAAGAAGCAAGGGGCTGGTGTGGTGGCATAAGAGCCTAATCCTCTGCCTGCAGTACCAGCATCCCATACAGGCTCTGGTCCCAGAGTCCCAGCTGCTCCAGTGCCCTGCCTGTGACCTGGGGAGGCAGCAGAGGATGATGGCCTAAGTCCTTGGACTACCACACCCATCTGGGAGACCTGGAAAGAAGCTCCTCTGGCTCCCAGTTTCAGATTGGCTCAGCTCCAGCCCTTGTGGCCATTAGGGGGAACAAATCAGCTTCTAGAAGATTTCTCTCTCTCTCTTCTCTGTAAAATCTGCCTTTCAAATAAATATTTATTGAAATAAATGATAAATTGCATATTTTCTATTCAAAGGCAAATTTGCCCCTGTTGTTTTGAGATACTGTTTTCATCATGTCAAAAAATAATTTAAAAATAGGTTATAAAGGTCACATTATGAATCTACAAGTGCCTCATTTTCTGGGAAACTTAGTGATGTAAAATTTCATTTTTGATTAAATAATTTTTTCTAATATTAGAATGAAGGATGTTAAGAAAAAATATTTACTCATGCAACTCCAAAACATTATTTACATAAGACTTTTAAATTGAATTTTAAAATTACTTTTGCAAGTATATCATATAGCCAGAACCATAATTCTGAAAATTGAATGCATACTTTCTAAAGTTATACTCATGAATCTTTTACATAATTGTCTCTGCTATAGGATTTACAAGTGTTATAAGTACACAGTGGAGAAAAGACAATGGATGTGCCATGACCAGTAACAGCTAAGTTTGTAGTTGATAGTAATTTAACTACACAGAAACTACAAATAAACTGTAGAGTTCAAATGAACTGCTGTTACTAATCAACAAATATCATGTCCAGACATGTCCAAGAAAGATTTTAATTTACCAGAGAATTTTTCTAGAAGTCTATGAAATGGTATGGGATTTCAGAACACTTCGTGCATACTTTAAAACATGTTTTAACTTTATTCTTCAGCTTTAAATGTCCTATTGAATATTAGGAATTGTACACATTTATGGGATACAAATGATTTTATTTATGAATAATATAGAATAAACTGTTATTAAAATGCATATTCACAATATTTAATAATATGCTTAGTGAAATAAATTAGGCACCGACAAATCCAAGTTCTCACTGATAAATGGGATTTAAACAACAGAATTCCTAGAGGAAAAGAATAAAATGGTGATTATGGAGGCTGGGGGATTCATGCTAGGGGGAACTGATGGACAAACAGTACAAAATATCAGGAGAAATTTTAAAAGAACTATTGCACAGCATGATGATTTCATTTAGCATTAGAATATTCTACACTTCAAAACTGCTAAGACAGTAAATTTCAACACTTTTCATCACAGATTACAGCTTTCCCTCTAATACACTATTCTTCAAAATCATCATTTATATGAGGAAAATAGTGATATTTTCAAAAGCAGAAATACACAGTCAGCTCCCTTAAAAGTTCCTGGGGTGGCTTTCTATAATACTTAGCAAAAATAAGCAGACAGTTTGAAATTTATTTAAAAATTTTAAAAATATAAAGACAAACCTCCAAGGAATACCTTCAGAAAGATAAATTTTAACAACAACAAAAAAAATCATCTCCAGCTTCAAGCTATTTAACTACTTCAGCAGACAATTTAAGCACCCAATCATTGCTGAGTACAAAAACTTTTAAAGTTGACACTGTTTTGCAACTACTAGAAAACAATCTTCATGAAAGAAGTCAAATGATCATGTCAATTCCCTATTAGACTCAAAATCCCTTAAATTGTTATTTATATATAAAATATACATTACAAATATATATATACAGATAACATGCATAATCCTCGATTTTTTATTTGCTGATTGAATGAAAATGACATCTCTTAAAATTCATAGGAAATAAGAGCTAATTCACTCACCCATTTAGAAAATGTGGAATCTTTCTCAGTCTCTCTGTTGCTATCTTTCTGGAAGGAGGTTTGGCTTGTGTGCCTTTATTTGCACACAGGGCCACCTATACTATTCAGTTTGTTGAAGATTTCACTCTGAAGGATGCCTGAAAATAGTTACCCTGTTTCTGCTTGCTTTGTGGAATGGCAGAAAATTAAACACATTTGTTAGGTATGTATCTAATAAGTATCTAAATCTAAAATGTTATCAAGGCTTGTTACCACTAGACCTTCAGCACGT